AAAATCAAACTTTTGATGATAGTAACTGCTAGATTACTTCACCGTTCTCCAATTCCATTTTCTGCTCTAATTTGTGTTTCAGATCGTGACCACCTCATTCTGACAATCAACACATCTTTCCATTCCACTAGCAGTTCCCTTAGAAGTACGGCCACACTGACATTCTGCATATTACACAGGCAGCCAAAATTGCAATCCATCAATCTAGATATTAAAAGCTTTCAAAAGACTTCCTTTAAGGACCAAGAGAACATGACAGGGAAAAGACAAGTTGACATGACTGGGATGAACGCACTTTAAATACCCTCAGTTTTCTATTTTGCGACTATCGTAACTTTAAATTATCCCACGACAATAATACCAAACAAGGCATTAACATGCAAAATGTCACCACCATTTGTTACAGACACCAACTGCAGATCGCCAACAGCCGTTACAAAAAAACGGAGACCATAACAATATGTCATTTAGTATATATAACATAAAAACTTCCCCCCCCCCCGCCCGCCCCAGGTCTGTCTTGTCAAGTAAAACATGATACAGACGAGTGATTAAGTAAAGACCTCAACTTGTGAAGATGCTACACTCTGTATATTTATAGGGAGAAAATATTACATCTCCTAGAGGTAGCATAGAACCCCTTTTAATGCTGTCATTTCATTTTGAGAGCATCATCTTTACTTTAATATTTCTACCTCAATGATGTGACCTCAGAATGATATTCTTGAAATCATATGAATAATATGGATTTAAACGACCTTCAGGAAGCTATTAACTTTCAACTAGATGACAGGGATAGGTTTTATAGCTTGCAAAAGTTATAAAAGTCACAGATAAAACGAGCCAGTATTTCTCAACATTGTGCTCTAAGATGTGTGTAAAACTTCAAACGATTTATCTTTTCAGAAAATTAATTTCCCAACGATAAGATATCTGTTTCCTACAGCTCAGGTGGAACCTGTTTTCTCACAAAAATGTTATAGATGGTTGTATTTTAATTCAAAATATAGTAAAAATAAGTAGAAGTAGAAAAATATGACATAGATAGACATTTAATGCACACTCTAAATTGTATGAAAATGCAAGAAAAACAGGCACGTCATTCAAATTTTTCAGAGATATTGAGAAAAACATGAGCAGACAGACTCGTTCATAAGGGAGGATGAAAAATGTTCAAAACAGATGAGTCTACCTGCGATTGTCAGCCCCAAAAATGTTGATTTTGAACAAATGTGTGATAAGAAAAGTACAAAATTACAGACCATATTAATAAGAACCATGTGTGAAACTTTATAACTAATACTTTGAAATGTTGAAATGAAACAAAAAATTGGCTCAAGTTATTTTGCAATAGACTTTTGGTATCCTCAAAACCCTTCATTAAATCACAACTTCCCAAATAGATGAACATGCCAAGTAAACTTGATTTTTGAGGAAACATAAAAGGAATTTCAAAATTCCTGGCATGCTTCCACATAGCAGTGCATTTATACCAAGGTGTAGATTTACTTGTTTCAACAAGGTGTTATCTTCATTGCTACCTATCCCCAAAATTTCTATTTTTCGGATCACAGCTTTTCTCTGCCAGTTCTCCCTAAAATTTGGAAAAATATTAGATTTTCTTGAATATGAATACAATGTATTGACTCGAATGACTTCATGCCTACTTGTCTCTGTTAATGCTGATTCACTTGAAGTGCAAGATAAGCTAACTGATCCACAATTTTGGAGAACTCATGCAAAAAACAGAGTATCAGGCCTGTAGTCAGGGGGGGGGGGAGGGACCAAAATTGTCAAAAGTGAAACCTCTGGAATTTTTCAAAAAGTGAACCCCCTTGGCCTTGGTAAATCCTCACCCCCCTTTGCTTATAAAATAAATTCTCACTATGGGCTTGTAATGAATTCTAGGCATGAAAAGTGCATATACCAATATGTTTCCCAAAGCGATCATCACGTTAATAACTATTTTTATCACACCTGAATTTACAACAGGTGCTTCTGATTCCACAAGCTATACTGCTGAAAATAATCTGCTCACAGTTTTGCGTATAACCTCTAAATATGTTTAGTTTTTGATCCATGTAACTGAAGAGGATAATGTTTTTTTCTGAATTATGTCAGGACTGAGTTGAGATTTCAAGGTTAAAACTGAACATCCTGCTTTGAGTATCTCTGGAATTTCATCTGAAAGCCATGTGGAGGAATCAAAAACTTATATCGGTTGTGTGCAATACTTTCACTCGTATCACCAAAAAGGTCACTGACTTTCTGAGGTTTTATGCACTATCTGGCATTCTGATACTCAGACCATCTCTGCAATGCACAAGGATGCGTTCTAGATGTAAACTGAGAGAAGGCTGTGATATCTCACGATGACTATTTGGCACCCGTTCCCCATTCCATGACACATGTCCCTATATATGTTAAGAAGGGGAGTTATTTTGGTCAGGTGCAATACTTTAACTGGACTTTCTGCAGGGATTTCACCAGAATTTCTCACAACAGGCTAAAAAATGATGACAAATTTTGTGAAAACAACTGGTGAAAATCGCCTGTTGCCTGCTGCTAATGAAACCCCTGAGTATAGTGTAAACATGACTGCCATATAGCAATTTGTGTAACTGTTGATGGAAAAATCAGAAGAAAGAAAGTTCTATCCTAGTTTTCCTTTGGTAGTTTGGATCACTTGAACCATTTGTGTCTTAATGTGTCTAACTGCATGTTTATTAGACAACAATTGCTTCTTGAAATGTTATATTTCAGCCTTAACAGACAAACAGCTTTTAAAACTGTAATAAAATGGAACCCTGCTCATAAAGAAAATGCTGGGCAAACTATAAATTTTCACAGGTTTTGAAAGTGAGGAAGAAAAAGAGATGCACATACTATACATAACCCTGGTTAAGCACAATGTTAAGTTCTAAACTAATCTCTGAATAAGATTTTGCAGTTTAGCAGCCCTACCCCGATTGCCAATGGCTGTCACACCATAGGTCATTAATCAATTCAAACCCAAAGCACTGACATCTCAATAACAAGGACCTAATATTGGTCTTTACTGGGTCAACAATCGAAGTACCAAGAAAATCATCCTTCTTGTATGATAAGCTCTGGTTAGTCCATCAAATTCAAAGTTTGAAGCAAAGTACATACAAAGTACACTTTTCAAGTCAAATGAATATAAAAAGTGTAATAATTTAGCTAAATGTGGAGTACTATTATATGGATTTTGGCAATTTATACATCAAACTATTCAAATTGGCTTCAATATATTCAATATAAATTCAATTGACGAAGGAAATCAGACAAGACTGGGTTTGTGTTTTAAGATTTTGGGCATTTCTACATAATTTGGATTACTCATGTTTAATTTTATTCCTCGCTAATTTCACTCTTTTGTGATTCAAAACAAGACCACGATGAACTTATAGTCCTTTTTGGTTGTAAACTGTATGACCTTAAGGGCAATGTTCAAAGTCCTAGGAAATAAATTATTATCATAGTAAGAGGACAAAACATTTGGATTTGCTGTTGTTTTAAAATGCAAAATAGATGAGGAAAGAGCAGAATAAACAAGGACAAAATAAACATGCATATTGTCAAAAACTCCAAATTATACTGATATACGAATAATGAGATACTTTATTCAAATATAAAAGTAAAATTGCATGACTAAATAAAAAATGAATAATTGGTTTTAAAATCACATGGCAACCCATGAGATTTTCTCAAAAAGGTTATATATTTTATACAGATGGCGATGATTCTGCACAATCTCATGCAATACAGAAATGCACAGAACTCGTGTAAGATTGAAGGTCGAAAATGTTCAAACGGACTTTGCCTAACCCAATCATTGATTGTACTGATTAAGCTATCAATTTATCAGAAATAATACAACTTTTACTACAATCGAGTACAACCTAGAAGTTTACCATCGTACAATTAACCGAGTTTCAAGCCACATATTACATTGTACCTAATCTAGTCCCAGTGCATACTTCTCACTAATTTTCACAAAGCAGCCTTATCTAATTATATGATGTTATTAAGCTAAGGTTTTATTAGATGTTTTAGTCAAGATCCATTGAGAAGAATCCTATTTTGATAAATGCCAGTATAGTGTAGTGTAGTTTAGTGTAGTGCAGTATAGAATTGCCTGGTTGGTCAGTACTTGTTTGGTACATATACAGTAAACCTACATTGTTTTATTAACTTTGAATGATAATGACAAAGAAAAATATTTTTCTCTTTGAGAGGATTTCTGAGTTATATAAAACCTTCTTAAAAAAGTCAAAATGTTTCTAATAAATATCTTATTGGTCATTGAAAGATGGTAATAAGGGTTTAAAATTGAATCCAAAGCAGAATTTGTAATAACAGCAATTTACTTTTCATCTCTTTGCAACCACCCCTCCCACCCAGGTATTAACCGTCTCCCCAATCTCATTAGCTAGGAATGCCCTCATTACCTCCCCCCCCTATGTTAATATACGAACATACACAGTGAAACCTGTCTTTATAATCGTATTGGTTTTGCAATCAATGACTGATAAAAACATGAATGAGCCCAGGAATATTGGAAAGTCGATCAAGTTCATATATCATCAAGCGTTGCAGAAATAGAGCAGAAAAAATACTCACAGAAAAATCTAGATTTATGAATTAGGTCATCTTAAATAGACATTCTGCATGGAGCATATATGTCAGGTATATAAAAGTATCATTCATTCCAAATACGCTTAATAAAATCTAATCCCCATCACAAACATGAAGGTTAATTTACTGATGACCCGCAATGATAGAGGCAACCATTGCAGTTTGATAATAATGAAATTTCTTGTCATTGGCTAAAAGGATTAAGTCTCACCATGACCCTTGAGAAGATTTATCATTTTTGTTTACCACCATTTTTACTGGGAACTGAACTTGGTACTTCATACACAAGAGTTTCATGCTTAACCACTCAGGCTTTCTTGAAAAGAAAAAAGTAGTCTTACATTTTCGAATATCCTGGGCTGGTATCATACAAAGCTTTGAAGATTGCAGACATTCCAGGTCTCGAGGCACACAAATTGGTCGTGGTACTGTATACACATGGGTTGGATAGTACATTCCCGGGTTGAAGTAGTTATAGCCACCGTGCCCACCGTATGGCTGGTTGTACGGGGGGTAAGAATGAGGGTACCAGAAATTACTAGTGTTATACATGTGCTGGTTGTAGTACCAGTCCATCAGCTGAGGGGGATTGGGACTTTCGGATTTATAAACAGTGAATGATATGTCACTGTCTGTGAGATCAACATATACACTGTTGAGGGTTTCAACTATAACTGGTTCTAAAGGTTTGTCCTTAATAATACTCGCAACAGACACAACTGAAGTCTTAACTGGTCTGGTTTTGTGCTGCTGCTTCACAGTCACAGCTGTTGACTTTTTGTTAATACTAGTGTTCACTTTGTCAGCCAGGACTTTCCTAGGAGATGGTGCAGTCACTTTCTTAGCCTTTTTCTTGCTATGTGGCTTTTGTTGTTTTGGTTTTGGTCTTTCATTTTCTTTTTGCTGATCGTCGTTTGACGATGTTGCATCAGATTTTTCCTGATTCTGGAATGATTTGTAGAACATAGCAAGACACTCGGGGCATTCCTGCTGGGGGCAGTCATATTTTGTCAGAGAAAAACCAGATGTGAACTCAACAAGCTTCTCAATTTCCTCAGGCACCAGTTCTTCACCAGTGCATGATGCGACTGAATCAGATTCGGTTTGAGATTCTGAGACATCCGAAACAACAGAAGACACCTCGGAGATATCTTCACTAGTTGTGCTCTGGTCATCGTTGGTCTTGGAGCTACTAGATGAAAGATCATTACAAATAACATCAATGTTATTATGGATGAAACTCCCTGGTTTGGAGTTGTTACTGCTGCCTAGTTTCAGATCCTTATCGTTCCCAAGTACAACATTATTGAGCATTTGGAGACTGAGTTTATCCTGATTCACCCAAAAAGCCGGGTCAAGATTCGCAAGGAGCATTTCCGGATGATGGTCCTTATGATGCACCTTTTCTATTGCGCTCAAAAATGAATTGAAATTTTTCCAATTCTTCGCATCTTTCAGATCGAAAGTACTCTCCGTGTGAGCGAATAGGAGATCACTAAATTTGAGCATTGCAGGGCTATTTTCTGTTTTCTTCGGTTCTTTAGCGCTGCGCTTGTGGCTAGCTTTTGTCGCTGCCTGTTTTAATGAGTCCTTAAGCTTGATTACAATAGGGCTGTTAACCTTGCTCTGACGTCTTCGTGACTTGACTGGTTTCGATCGTTCTTTCTCGCACTCTACACATGTGCTTGTCATTCCCTTAAGGCGATTTAGAAAATGTTCTTTACTGACGACCTCAAGACCATTGGAGGCCTGTAAATCCTGACTTCCTTTGCGTTTCGTTTTCTTCCCCATCATGGATGTCAATAACCCTGGGGTGATGTTTACAATGTTCAATTTCTGAAATAAATGAAAAGTGTATTTTAATTTTAGTTTGTGTCAACAACAAATCAAAACCAAATATGTATTTAAAATATTAGCTTACTTTCTCCTTATTCGGTTAATTAAGCTCTCAAGTTTTTTGGAACAACAAAAGCTTTAAACAAACAGAACAAGTATTACCCTAATTTTGTAGAACAACAATTACTTTTTAATGAAGACAAACAGAAAAAACAAAGTCCAAACAAAGCCAATAAACTGAAGTGAACCTTTTTGAGATTATCTTAAGTATGTTATGTACATTTGATAAAGGTCACGCAATTTCCTGCTTAAGGTTACAACTTGGTTTAGTGTTATCACCAACATCCTAGTTAATAACCTCTTATAGTGTCCCATCCTAAAATATGTCCCAAAATAACCATGTCTTTCTAATCAACAAGGATTCAGAAATGGAAAAGTAAGAGTTTATTCCCATCATGATCATGAGATCGAAGTACAAAAAAAACATATTAACACACAAAGTCTTTGGAACCCCCCCCCCCCTACCATCTTCAAATCATTGCCATTTCTTGTGAAGAAGTGTAGAAGAGGGGGAGGGGTCAAAAGGCAAGGGCTTGTAGCAAGAGTTAAACAATTAAGAACTTTTAGGAACATTTATTCTCATCATGAAGTCATTTGTACTTCAAACATTAGTTCATCATTAAATAGATTTGCACTGGGATATAGCTATGGAAATGGAACAAGTCCATAGATAAATATTGTTTAAAAGAGAAACCAGGAAACTTATACAGTGCAGTGATCATGATGCATCAATGTTATTTTTGTTTACTATTAAACAATACACTAGAGTTGCAAGTAAAAAACATATTTGAAAAGCAGTAATCAATTGTTAAGAACAACAATGAATGGATTATAAAAACATCCTGGTAGGATATTGAAATTCAAAAAATATTCAAGTAAATATAAACAAATTCAATTTTATTTTAAGGAAGATTAACATGTATGAAGTGAAGTCAATAATATAATTTTAGAAAGCTATTTTACTCGCTATTTGATTGTTATCTGAAACTTTTACTGATAAGATGTTTTAAAATTACCTTGTAGGTTCTATATTAGGAAAGTTGTTCATGTCTTGAATGTAAAATATTTAAACTCAATACCTTTTTAAGTCACCATGAATAAGAGAACTAACAAAAATGCATACCTGTTTTTCAAACTGTCTGGTTTGATGAAAGTCAAAGTAAGAATGAACTTGCTAAGGTGAACGTTCTTTAATTTTTTTTGATTTAAATCAATATGACCAATTTCCCCCAATTGGCCTTAGCTATACAATTTTTTTTTTATCTTTTGTGACCTCAGTTGACAATGGCTTAAGTGGTATATTCTTATAGGTATTAATCTTATTACTTTTCAATATTCTTCTCAGTCTGTCAGTTTATGGAGTTTAATTAGCCTCGAGTATATTTCTGGGTTAATCCGAAACTGCTTTGTTCTTTTTTCAGGACATTTCACTCTTTCCATGTGACACGATTTATTAATTTACTTATGTCAACTTAGTTTCATTAGTTCTTTATAAAATAGATCTTGGAATGATGTTGAGTTCTTTGTTATAAAAAGCAGGCTTCAGTTTTCCTTTGTTTACATTGTTTGGATTTGGATTAGTCATCGAAGCATGATCATTTGTTTAATTATATAAACTTGGATCTTTGACAGAAAATACTTCATATTATGAATAATGAAATGAGAGCACTTCGAGATGATGGTAATTATAAGGCAAAGTTCTTTGTTCAATCATACACATCATTATTAAATACTACAAATATGAACGCCTTGTTGTAAAAAAATCAATAAGACTATAAACAATAGCGTAAACGTAATATCATCCAAACTAGATCTCCACAAACAAAGAAAAAATGAAATCTAAAATATATTTTTAAAAAAATAAAAATAAACTCACCTGAATAATTTTCGAGCAATCAATTTTATATTCCAATTGTGATTGCAAATCTGAATGATAATAAGTCGTGTTGAATAGTTATATCCACATGCTGTATCTGATGTAGTATTACTGCCTGCATTTCCTGGTGCTTTGTGTTTATATATTACACAGGCCACGTGTAGTAGAAATCTTGAGGATGAATAATAGGCAACCCTGCTGAGTGACTCACCAATATAAAGAGGATATCCCTTTGTAGGATGATGTGCCTATCAAATATTGTACTGTACTTTGGAAGTGTTGACTGTTTACTATTAGATCTCACACTCCTTGCAGATCAGTGATAGTAAAACAGAATTATTGATATTGCAGGAGTGCTAGACATAATCTTTATCTAGCTCTCTCAAATAGGGTCATATGCGCGAGCAGAGTCCATATAAACTACACCCTGATGCCAAATTTTAAACTTTATGTACCTATATGCCTGTATGTAATGTCAATAAGCACCATCAACTTGTTAATTAGCGATTATCACTAATCAAGTTCAATCTTTCTAAACATCCATTAGCTTGAAAACGTTGCTTCTGCAGCATTTAATAACTCCAATACTTTTTCTCCTCCTTGATGTACCTTTTATTTTGATTTCAGAAATGTTTATGTTCTGGCTATCTTTGCTTGTGTAGTATGTGAAAATAATTCCTGAGTTTGCCCATGTGAAATAGCAGTTTCTATATTTCACTGGCCATGTGCCACTGCCTACAGGTAACACGAAAATGATTGAAGTAAAAGCACATCAGTTCAAACTTAGGTGAACAGTGCAGGTGAATGCCAGGTAATCATCTAAAAGGCACAAAGCGTGGTCAATATGGCATGGTCATCAACTAAAAAGCTGCAATTGTTTATTTGCAATTGTGTATTTTGGAGAAATGCCTAAATCTCCAAATTTTGTGTGCATTTAGGACAAATGCCCCATCCATATATATTTCCTTCCAATGTTACATCAAAAATTTGTGTCTATCTATATATGTTAAATAAAATGTGATGACTAAAAGCAGCGTTTAAGTTTGATTCAAGTATCTACCTGGCTGCCAGTAAGCGTGGGTAAAGTCCACTAGAATATTCACATATAAATCTCAATCTCAGACCTGTAGTAGCTCCTTATTAAAACAGTATATAGAGAAAATCACTGCAACTTGCTAATTATAATAATGTACTTGCAATAACAACAAGCCTAGAAAGCCAGTTTACTACAGCAACCATGTATGAATATGAACAATTTCTATACCTCTATATAGCTTACAATAGCTACAATCCTAAACCCCAGCTGTCCCAAACGTTAAGTCCCTATAATCTCCAGAAATCACAGATATTTGATTGTTTTGAGTCGTTTGATCCTGCATAATGCCCTTCCTACTCACTGCATCAGGATATAATATTAATATGGCCTTCAGAATACAGAGTAAGGCAGGCTTATGCTGATAGGATAGCGCTAATAATGAAGTGGCCAAGTAGGCAGCACGACAGGTCATGACACCTATGTTTCTATATGGATACCAATAATGTGGTCAATATATGATACTTCTGTGAAACCTTAAACCAAAATTGTCAAGGTACCTGATACCATTGTAGAAATGAAGCCAATCCTAAATGTGATTTGTTACATCTGTAGTCAATAGTGTTGAACATTCAATATTTCAATAGTGTAAAATAGTTTAAACCAGAGAACCCAAGATTGTTTCTTTTGTTTCATTATTTCTTATTATGACAATGGATTAAAACACTGTGTGGTGCATGTGCTTGCCTGCTGACGACACAATGGCAACAACCATCGAGCCCACCCAACAGTCCAAAGTCATTGTCCCTTAACACCTCTAGAGACATCCCACTTCGACTCAAAGAGTGTAGGCTGCATCATGTTTACACAATATGAATCTTAATGTCAGATATCCTTATATGCATAAACAACAAGGAGTCAATAAAAAACATATAAAGATGGGGGGGGGGGGGCTATTCCTTTCTGTTGATAGCCAAAGAGATATCATTGTTGAAGCTCAGAGTTCATTTAAGAAAGATGACCAGGACTAATTAGCTTCAAAGTGAATCCAAAATAATGAATGTGGCAAGTTATGTGTGTAATCATCACCTGTTTAAAATACATCCAGATTACTCCCTAAAAGGCATGTGAAATAAACATATTATTATGTTGACCAATGCAGATCTAAGATAATGAGATAAAAAAATAGTTTATCTGCGAAAAACAGATGTCAATAAACTGCAAAGCCGCTGCCACCATATATGGCTTGATTTAGCTATTCTAAAAAGTATGAACTGAACTATTTGTAGGCTAGACTTTACATTATTATCAATGTTCATGGGCATGATTTAAATGCAGAGATAACAGAAAATCAGTTTTTTAAACTCACAATTGGCCGCAATGCCAATGGCATCAATTTTACTTTCATAACAAACATGCAAAAACTGGGTGCCAATCAGTCAATGAACTGACAGCCAACCTGGCAAATTATATGGCTAACGTATATTCACCCTCAGTGTATAAACCTGTAGTGACTCAACAGACCTGGGCTAACAAAACTCATTATCCATATTTGGATGAAAGTTGTATACATGTTCCTAGGGGCAGGTTAGGGGTGGAGACAAACATTCAATATATTATTGTATTAATCTGAATTATAACTAGTAAATAAAAAATTAAACATATAAAAAACACTTTTGAACACAACCATTGAGCACAGCAACTTTCAACCCCCACCACTCATTAAGAACATACTATATCTAGTATATAACCCTTTTTATCCCATACTTGGATGTGTTACGGGTACATAAAGCCGGTTTGTAAAAACTTATATTTTCATCAGCGGGCAGATATAGCTTTACGTCCCGCTCCGAGCGGGCAGATATAGTATATCTGCCCGCTACGTCATAATCGCTGTTCCCGTATTGGTTCTTTTTGTAACGTTCGCATACTGTAAACGACAATGGAGAAAAACGTAAACAATCACGATCTGTTTGATGCTTTAGAGAAGGGAAGGAGCAGTATGCCCGTTAACAATCAAATATTTGAACAGGAAAATCCGGCTACGGACAAGAATAAAAAACTGGACATGAATATTTAAAAATAATTCCACGATTGGTTGCAACACTGAATTGAACAATGTGATTGGTATGGGATAAACAGATCATCCTACAGTCGGTTCAGGATATTGGGATTATCCCTTGGCCAATATAATATATCTGCCCTCGGGACCTACGGCCCTCGGGCAGATATATTATATTGGCCTCGGGATAATCCCAATATCCTGAACCTCATATAGGATAATCTCTATATATTCTACAAATCTTGCCCCAAGCCAGACTTAATTCATAATAAATGACTGTTCCATGTACATGTACATCAAAACGACCAGAACATTTTTTTGATTAACCAATCAACTATATAAACTAGATTAGGAAATTAACTTTGATTAGTTCATAATTAGGCAGATACTTGACCCTGGCACTTCACATATTTCAGCAATCATTAGCAGCCATACATGTGTGGAATAATTGAATGATTGTATATTTAAGGAAGCTCTGCACTTCAAAAACAATAAATTGTAGAAAATGCAGAAATGTCATATAATCTCATTTAATCACAATTTTTATTTTAACTAATGTATTCTTTCATAATATATAAAAATCTGCATTAAAATGTGAAATTTTAGTTGATTGTTGATAACTGTAATGATCATGAAAATTAAATGAAACATTATAATCTTGCTGAACTACCTTAAGTATTAAACACTTGAGTTGTTTTAACCTTTTGTTTATTTTATCTAACTGATACTGGATATGCTGCTTTGAGGTCCTGATAAAATCTGAAGGGTCGTGATTTGTCTGATCACAGAATATTTTTTACCAAAACTGGCATAAACTTCCCAAAAGAAGCAAGTTACTACCTGAAAATCATGTTTTTTTTACTTGATTACCAGTTTGATCATATAACCTTGGACCTTGGATATTGAAAGTTTGCTATTTTGGCAGCTGGCAAAAAATGTTCCTTTCAAGGCCTCTGTGTTGTTTGGCATCTGTCTGTCTATATGAATGATCTGACTTGAATGACCTCAAATACCATGCAAGGAAAGAGACACAAAAAGGAGACAAGGTTTAATAGCCAATTTATGTCATTTTTAATTTATCAGTAAAATGTTTAATGCAAATATCAGCACTGTACATGCAGTATCCTTGAATACTTCAATTAAAATCCCAATGTCAATATCAATATTTTAAAAGCAAAATTGAAAGGGAAATGATGAAAATCAACAAGAATGGAATAAGCAGGCATGTAGTCAACGATCCAAATTGTATAAATAAAAAAACTGAAATTCACGCACTTCATTCAATTTTTAGAGAGAAATGGAGTAAAATAAATGGCAAACAGATATTTTCAGCACAAAAACAGGATATGAGATATAAATAAAATCCTTTGTTATGCTAAATTCACCTGTTTGTCAAAATAAACGTGGTGAATTCTCATTGGTTGATGCATGTAACACGTTGCTGTAAAAATACATGTATACTAAAATCTTAATTTGTAACCGTATTAACACGAGGCCAATGGGTTAATTATGTTAAATATAAGGTAACAGGTGAAATACAAATCTGAATAAATTAGGATTTTTAGTGAACCCTAGAGGAATTGTTAAAAGACCTGAACAATCTCTCTCAAATTTTATCATCTAAATAAGTTTAAGCAAACAACTATAGTTTAAAGAGACTAGATCTATGTATACTAACTTAAAAAGTATGGTATTGTACCATACGAATCTGTAATGTACAGTACAAAAATATGGTTCCATATACTGTACAGAAAATCACACCTCTCTAATCTAAACACCAATTAACCTAAACACTTTCTGTTCCCATGTGTTCATTTGACATATTCTTCCATGTTAAAAAGCTTGAGATATGAATACCTGTTAATCTGAACATCTAATCTAAACACCAATTAACCTGAACACTTTCTGTTCCCATGTGTTCATTTGACATATACTTCCATGTTAAAAAGCTTGAAATATGAATACCTGTTAATCTGAACATATAATCTAAACACCAATTAACCTGAACACTTTCTGGTCCCATGTGTTCATCTGACATATACTTCCATGTTAAAAAGCTTGAAATATGAGTATGTGTTAATCTGAACACTCACTTTTGGTTGATTCAAGTTAGTGTTCATATTAGCCAGATTTTGCTACCGTATTCTCTGTAATTAGCGCCCAGGGCGTTTAGAAAATTGAAAATACATTATTTAGACCATTCTAATAAGCGCCCATGTATGAAAGAAATCAGAAATCCCGAGGAATTTCATGTATGGCAATTTTTCTTGACAAGAATGCATTTTCTTCAACATATTTTTATAATAATATGACAAGTGCTGTTATTGGAGAGAATACGGTAAAGATCGCTTAGACAATATTGACAGTGGTTGAAGACCCGTCTATGTCTAATTTATTTCCGGCACGCCCACTTTGTCATTATCGCCGATTACCTTCAATATTTCCACTAGAGACTGCTGGATATCGATCTAAAGTTATACATTATTTCTAATTTGATGAGAGATCATCATTATTCGTGCAAAAGTCGTGTAAAAGTCGAGAAACATTAAAAAGAAACCAGAAAGTTCACGACCTTGACATGCGCAGAACATCTGCGCAGTAGCTTTTGAAATTTCTGAATGCCGATAAAGAACAATTCCTTCATTCATTATGGATTATTATGATTCCTCGATGTTTCTTGAACTTTGTGAAGCGGGGTGGGCGCTTATTAGAGAGTGGGCGGTAATTACAGAGAATACGGTACATGTATTTCTAATGGTGAACATTCTTGTGAAGGGAGCCTCTTGAAAGATGAGAGAAATTGTGATAAACCATTTCTAATGGTGAACATTCTTGTGAAGGGTGCCTCATAAAAGGTGAGGGAAATTGTGATAAACCATCTCTAATGGTGTGCCTCCTGAAAGGTGAGGGAAATTATGATAAAGCATTAAAATTGTGATAAACCATTGAAATATGCACTAGCACAACAATGAGCTTGAATGATGACTGACTGAATTCTTTAATTCCCAACTGCATTTGACTCACACCTCATGAGGATGAATTCACCTATGCTTGGATATAAGCCCAAATCTCGCCCTGTTATATAGCAGCTTCATTATATTACATCAAGGATATCACAAAAAACAGTCAATGTATAGAAGTATACTTCCTATGACAAATGAGGTATAAGATATCTATATTTCCCTCAGGATATACCCCATATTCAAAACATGCCACAACCATCATTTTTGTAGGTGGTGGCTCCAGGAGGTAGCATGAATGCCTGGCATGTTTGTAGAATTATATCATTATTCATCTATATTACATTAATACATGATGTGAATTATACGAGCCATCTGTGAATAGGTAAATATCATGTGACTCTTCCCGAAGATAAATGGAATATATCGTGACTGCGTGGGAGTAGGGGAAAGAACTTGATGCAATTAACAACAAAACAGTAACTAAGTATCTAATTTCAAACAACCGAACTGCCATCTATCAATTGAAATACAAAGTTTCAGTTTTTATGCTCCATGCAGTCTAGTACATCCATTAATAAACAAATCTACCAAGGCATTAACATGCAAAATGTCATCATAACTGTCGTCACAAAAATCTGGAGACAATTACCAACAAAAATGGTTCAGTTGAAGTGAGAAACCATATGGAACACATAGATAATGGTAACATACACTACAGATCATATAGACTAAAATAAAAAAATACACCACAGCAGTGAAATAAAATATACATGTAATTAAATTCTACCCATATATCAAAATGTTCAAAGATTTATATCTTAAAAATATAGAATAAACTTCCAATGGCTTTATGTTTATCTTATTTACCCTTACTATCAAAGTAACAAACAGAAATAAAAGTCAACAAACTTTTATGGGCAAAACATTGCAGTGAATGACGCATTTTATTTAGGCAATTTCTGACGTTTGCATGCAATCTCTGTAATAGGTCATAATTTACACATACATGTAGATCTTTCATAAGGCAACCAGTACATATAACAACTCTTCATTATACATCGGATTTAATATCACCGAAATAAACAATGAAACCTGTCAAATCTGAATGCTACTTAGACCAGCCAACCATTTTCAGATTGGAAAATGTTAATTTTGATTTTTACATGGATGTCTATGGCAGACTAAAAATAAGACATAAGAGGTGTTAATCTCCAGGGATATTTGGATTAAAGTGGTTTTCGGATAAATAGATTTTCCTGTTCATCTCTGTAACAAAATCAACAAGGCACAACTATCAAGTTGTCTGTTTAGGATTTCTTTATGAAAATGTCCTATTATCCATGCTTTTTTCTTTCTTAAAAATGGCAAAAATACTTGTAAAAATTTATGTTCCCCTTTAAAGCCTAAAAGGCAAGTAAGAAGTGATAAAAATCATACATGAAATTCAAAAGCTCAATCTTGTTATTTACCCAAAACCTAATCAGATTTGGTACTTGTCTGCTCTTGCATCTTTAAAGATTTCAAAGTAAGTAAATGAACAGTGTTTCTTAAGGGATACACAATGAAATATATGTATAAAGAGGAAAATGTGAGTCTATTTGAATGTATGAAACGAGGAAAGAGGGAATACCATGAAACAAGATATTAAGGACCAAAAGCAAGGATAAAATTGCTATAATCAAAATATTTGCATCAGCTCCTTGTCTGTGTTATTCTAAAGGGAAATGCTAAAATGCTGTGGGAGTATAATATTTGTCAAAAAAATAAACAAACTTAAATTGACTTAACCTTTCACCTCAACTGTTAACATGTTGTCATGACATTATAAACAAACAAAATAAAATGCAAATCAGACATACCAGTATTGTATTAAATATCAACATAATTCAATACAAAATACCTTCATGCTATATAAAATAAACAATACTAGAAAAGGTAGGGTTTACCTGAGAAGGGTTACCATGGCCACCCAATATTTAAGTTTTAAAAGTTTTATGGGTGAAAAAATAGTAAAAGGCTGGTTAAAGTAGCCTATACATGTACTTGAAAAGACCTGTCTAAATTCTTTCATTAAACACTGGAACAAAATATTAAGAGCAATTTTGACTTTTATGGAAAATAGCATGTTGACTTCATTTATTTCAATGTTACTTCTAATTAAGATGGGCATTATCTCTACCATAGTTAGCTTTTGTTGAAAACAAAACATGTAACAATGTTTAATAATACATCAATGCATAATATCACTACCTGCCATTTGTTACAGTCAATGAACACCAAACAACAAATGCTGAAAATCACCCAAATCACTGTCTACCACAACGTTGGAGACCACTTCTGGTAGGCTCTAATGGGGAAATAAAAACTATGTTGGAAATAAAATGAAGGGGAAACTAGAAAAGACTGGCATCTTTAGTTACTTATGGAGAAAAAAATGTAGTTAAAGATTGTTGAAAATAAATAGATGTCTCTCCTGAAATAGGGTATCAAACACTTCTGTTTTCTGTGTTTCTCCTTTTCTTCACATTTATTGTATTGTTTTATAGTAGCCTGGCCAGAACAAGTCATGCCTCTCTATTTTCTCAATAACTTTCTCAATTTTGAATATTTTTTCATGAAATTTTCATAGAATAAACTTTAAAGAATTCCTAACATACAAATTTTTTTATATGGTAAATGCCTCATTAATGTCATTGTTACAACCTTTTAAAAAATAATGTCATATTCTGTTGATGGGTCATTTTTGTCGCCATTTGAAAGCATCTTTTATCTCCATCAAGTATGACAACAGGCGAGTAGTAATGCCTTTTATGGGACGAGCAGTATAGAGGCTTGGGATCATGAGGTCTTGAAATAGTATGGTGGGTTTAGAACACTAAAAAAGATAAATGATCCCCTATCAAATGCAATCAAATTTGTAGACCATATTAGGACAAAACGTAATAGGAGATTTTTCGTATCTTTTTAGAAAAAATGGTGATAAAAATGACCCATCAACAGAATATGACATTATTTTTTAAAAGATTGTAATAATGAAATTAATGGGGCATTTACCATATAAAAATATTTGTATGTTAGGAATTCTTTAAGGTTTATTCTGTGAAAATTTCATGAAAAAATATTCAAAATTGAGAAAGTTATTGAGAAAATAGAGAGGCATGACTTGTTCTGGCCAGGCTACTATTTTATTTACGACTAAAACGAGTGATATTTTATTGGTAATTTATATGGGTGAGATGGAAAATTGTACACAACCTAACCCAACTTGTGCATTTTTAACCCAAACCCATCTCACCCCTAGTAATATAGTACTGAACATATTTACACTGGAAAATAGACCCAGAAACCCCTCCCTGAAGGGAAGTGTCTTCTTCATCAGCACTGATAGAAAGACACCCAATCACTGCTTTTTACATTACTAATAATGGACCACTCAACCAAGTACCCATTGTGTACAAATATACAATTGTATGTGGTTGTTTCGTCAAAAGGGGAATCAAACCTGATGACCACTGAACTGAGAGGTACATGCTTTATTGCTTAATGACTCCCCAGTCTGGATTATCAGGTAAGCTCTTATCCTTCATGTTTTCAAATTATACAAAATTATGACATGTAGGTAGTGTATGTTTATAAATGTGAGTTTTACGACACGTATGCATGATTTGACCAGGAATAAGAGTATGGATGTAACAGAATATATAAATGTAGTTTGTGTATGCAAATGTGTTCAATGTTAAAGACAAGAGTGTATGCATAATATAGAAATGTGTCCAATATTATGGCCATGAGTGTATCATACTGAACAACATGTCCAATAAGAACAAGAGTGTATCCATTTGGAATTACTTGTTCAATATGGCCATGAGTGTATCATACTGAACTACTTGTCCAATATGAACAAGAGTGTATCCATTTGGAATTACTTGTGCAATATGGCCATGAGTGTATCATACTGAACTACTTGTCCAATATGAACAAGAGTGTATCCATTTGGGATTACTTGTGCAATATGCCCATCATACTGAAATACTGATCCAATATGCAATATGAACAAGAGTGTATGCGTATATAAAATGTTAACTTACTTGCTAAGTTATCTAACATATACTGCATCAGTTTTGTTGTACCATTGTGCTCGTTAAACAAGTTCAGAATCTCTGGATTCAATGGATTACCAGAAAGACCTTAAAAGATAACATACAATATTATAATTTAGCAGAGCAATCAACATGCAAAATGTAACCACCTGCCATTTGTTACAGACACTGACTGCCAAATGCGAAACGCATACCGCCAAACATCATCCACAAAAAAGTTGGAGACTGACAACAAATTAATTTTGTGAAACACATTTTCTACTTTATATGGCCATAATTCTCAGATAGTCAATAATAATTATTTATCAAGAGGTCTTAACTTGCAACTTCTTATCACTGATTTGGAGAATGTAAGATACAGAGACAAGGATGTATTTAATAAAGAATTCAGGAAACTGGATAAACTTCATATTCTATAGTATTCTCCCTCAAGCATTTCATCAACTCGGAAAAAATGATCATGATAATTTAGAATCTCAAGGTCAAAAGGAATTTTCACCAGGGTACAATGCAATTTCAAACTTCACAACTGAATACAGCAAGCAGCTGCTTTAACACTAGGAAGATTACTCCTTTAGGCAAGTATAACAAGTCATTGATAATACAATGATAATACAATGTACATTCATTCAAACTTATTAAGATTTAAAAATCCATATTTCTATACGTACCTAATGATATGAGCTGGAAAAGCTTTCCAATTTCATAGGGCAATACCCTCAAATGATTATTATTCAGAAGAAGTTCTCTTAATTGATACATGTCCCCGAGTTCAGCCGGCAAACTTCGGATTTTATTTTGAGACAGATCTAGCGCCATCAAATTCTCGAGGCGGCAGATTTCTGGCGGGACAAGGTGAAGATTGTTATCATTAAGGAATAATGAGGTCAGGTGATGCCATTCCCAGAGTTTTGGACTCACATTGCGAATTGGACCTAGAAATATATAAAAGTATAATTATTACCACCTTGCCAGGCCGGTTCTAGGGGTTTTAGTGCTAGTTTAGAAGGCATTCATTTTACTATATCGACCTGAGCAATATGTGACGTCATAGTGGCGGTCAATATAGCATCGGCCCTAGGTCCAATATTTCACTATATTGCCCTTCGAAATGACGTTATTGTACTAATCATAGGAGATAATATACAGTAAAACTTGTCTAGTCTAAACGCTACTGAGACTGGCTAAAAATGTTCAGATAGGTAGGACTTAGGTGTTCATATTTCAAGGTTTTTCTTTACATGAAAGTCTTTGGCAGATTACAAATTAAACCAAAAAGTGTTCACATTGAGATGTGTTTTGATATATACTGTACTTCTACTTAATTTGGCACTACTAATTTTGACGGATTTGCTGTTTTGAACATTTGGCGGCTACTTCATTTGACGGACATCAAATGTTACAATTTATTGATCTGTCAAATGAAGCCTTCTGATTGGTCAGTTCTTGTGCTATACCAATATGTGTTGCAACTGAGATTTTCCCCATTGATCATCTCTGTAGCAATATAGAAAATATCGGTATGGAGGGGACAGTCTCAGTTGCAATTCTGAGAATACAGAAAATTTCCTATTGATTATTAAAAATTAAATTGAAGTGCAGTAGTTTTTTATTGGAAGGTGACAATTTTGATTAAGGAAAAATTCTGGTCCATCAATTTTCTTAAATTAAAAATATTGTGCCCTCAAAGGATAAAATACAGACTTTCTCTGGCACATTATTTTAAAAGAATGAAAACATCATCTGATATCACATATCATTCAGTAGAGGAGATATAAATTGTGTGGAAAATCAAACAAATCAAACTTACCGCTGATTTCGAGCTCAAACCATCTTGATTGTTTCCCTCTAGCTAGATCTTCAGGTGACATGATAGTGTGACATCTCCGTCTATCTGGAGGCTCATATTTGTCCTTTGGCATTCTGAAAACATAACACAGAGTGATGAATATCACATCTTTTTAAACAGCAGTTAAAAATGGCCACCAAGTTACCTACCAAGTATACAAAAACCTTATAAGGTGACTTGTCTGAGTTTGCATCTGTGCAAATTTCAAGTTGAACAGATAAGCAGTTTTCGAGGAATTTTGATGACAAGGTGGTGCCCATCTGCCCGGACAGACAGACCCATGAATGAATCCCCATCAGCAAAAGACTATGACGATATAGCACTTCAAAAAGTGTGATAATAAAAACAGGGGTTTCACTAATTTCTCACAACAGGCTAAAAAATGAAAAACAACAGGCAAAACAAATGGAAATCATTAAATCAACATGGAAAAGTTGAAGTCCTTAAAAACAACAGGCGATTTTTTGAAAACTGGTGAAAATCGCCTGTTGCCTGCTGCTAATGAAACCCCTGAAAAAAGTCACCAATGATGCAAATATGTAAGCACAAGTGGCAAAGGGGAGAGAAAAAGTATTAAAACATGATAAGATAATGGAATGTTACAATAGACATTTATAAAACAACTCTCAACATCCGAAACCATGATTTCTAATACTCCTTAAGAAACCATTATCTTATTGAAAACCCAGAGACTATCATTTCATGCATTCTGGTGTTAAATATATGTTAGAGAAAAACTTGTTAAGGAAAAGATGACCAATGCTCCAACATGTGATCAAGGTGGCAAGTTCAAATGCACTCCATAGAGCTGTATTTTAAATTTGCTCAAGGTAGCAATGTTCAAATGTGCTCAAAGTAGCATTTTTAAATGTGATCAAGGTTGCATCTTCAAATATGCTCCAGGTAGTATGGTTCAAAGGTGCTTAAGGTACCAATGTAGCATGTTCAAATGCTCTCAATTAGCACATTCAAATGTGCTCAAGGTAGCAATGTAGCATGTTCAAATGTGCTCAAGGTAGCATATTCAAATGTGCTCAAGGTAGCAATGTAGCATGTTTAAATGTGCTCAAGGTAGCACATTCAAATGTGCTCAAGGTGGCAATGTAGCATGTTAAAATGTGCTTAAGGTACCAATGTAACATGTTCAAATGCTCTGAAGTAGCATGTTCAAATGTGCTCAAGGTAGCAATGTAGCATTTTCAAGCGTGCTCAAGATAGCATATTCGATTGTGCTCAAGGTAGCAATGTAGCATGTTCAAATGTACTCAAGGTAGCACATTCAAATATGCTCAAGGCGGCAATGTAGCATATTCAAATGTGTTCAAGGTGGCAATGTAGCATGTTCAAATGTGCTCAAGGCAGCACGCTCAAATGTGCTAAACATAACATGTTCAAATGTCTCATACCAAGACCATCTCTTTGATTCTGGTCTTGCGCATGTTTCAAATCTTGAAACTGCATAAGCTGCACATATTTCTTACCTCTATAGATTCTTAACATCACAAACATTCCTCCAATTGTAAAAAGAGACAGCTGTCTTAAATTGCAGTAATATGCACCACGATCTCTAGATAGACCAGTATTACAAGATGTTCGCCATCAGAGGCCATGAACATTTCTATATATCTTTATTACCAGGAACATTATACTTTTTATGGAATCAAGTCAAACAATATTGAAAAATTGTGAGTGTTATAAACACAACAATGTATTTGAATAATTTCAATAGAATTACTGTTGTATTTGATGTGTTGTTAGGTAAAAATGTGTAAACTGCCAAAGCTGAATGTTTACACCTATGATTTATTTATATATCACTACACATGTATTCCAGGAAGTGACGTTAATATAATACCTGTGGTCATGACAGACATCTTGAAATACTGACTGATTTAAAAATTGAAGTGTATATTACTGCAATATGAGACAGCCGCGTCTTTTTGACATTGAAAGAACATTTCTAGTGATATTAAGAATCGATTTAGGTTTGAAATATGTGCATTGCTAGTGCCATTTTTTTACTTTTGAAATCTTATGTAGCTTGCAAGACCAGAATCTAAGAGGTTTCAGGCTGAGTCTGATTGAAATTTCAAATGGAAACAATTTTTTTTTTAGCATATAAATAAGGTGGCTCGAGAAATTACTTGGGCACATTTGAACATGCTTCGTTGCTACTGCTATAGAAATTGAGTCATTCTGTGATAAAAATGTTATGCCTATATAAGAATGGTGAACTTAAGATGCTTTATTGAATCATCCTCCAGGCAGCATTATGAGTCATAAAAAACAGCAATCAAACCAATCCACAGTTTGGCTCATGTCTGGCAAAAATTAGAAACATATTTTGATTTTGACTCGCTTAATTTTTCTCAGACTCGCATTTTGGCGTTTGACATGATATTTAAAACCTTGCTAATAAATGATAATTTCATAAAATAAAAAGAGTATGTCTGGCTTGCAGTCGATATAATAAATAAAATTGAAGAGGTTAGGTTCATGATTTAGTTTTGCATCAAATAAGCTACAGAATGAGAATTAGGGTGTTTTGCTATATTCATGATAATTCCTAAATTGTCATTACATAGGAACATACATGAGTGTTTACTAAATCCTGGAAGGTAAACTGTGACACTTGGCTAAATCTCACTTTTCTATTTGACTGACGTTAAAAAAAAAACATTGATAACCTACTTTTGCTTATTTTGAATGCATGATCAATAAGGGTTATACAAAATTTTCACTGAAAGCATGGGCTTCGAGAGTCTCCTGAATGCCCATGCTGAAAGTTCGGAAGTTTGTTTGAAGAAGTAGAAGAAATAAACTATGAATTGTTTTCATGCTGTTAGCCTCACTACAAACAAACAATAACCAGTGGTTTTGATACATCTTAGACCAATGTCTAAAGTACTGGAGTCACAGAATTTCCAACAAAAACAAAAACTTTTTGTGACAAAATTCTGTAAACAAAGGTACCACATTTCTTGAGTTACCTATGCTAAATTAACCTTTTGACACTCTCCTTACACTGAGAATATGACATGTAGAAATAAATAAATAATATTTACCTTTATACATGAGAGGAAATGACAAATATATGGAATAAGATGCATAAAAAGATTGAACTTGATTTTAACAAATTATGGCTGCCTCTAAGAAAGTTTTGATTGGCTGATTCGACTTGGGCTAAATTTCAGATAGCATGCTTTAAATTCTGGTTTGTGAACTACTAATAATATTAGTAATGAATATGATGATACATATCATTTTAAATCTGTTTTCATTTTAATTGAAATATAAGTCATTTTAATTGACAAGTGAGAGATTTCGTATCAGCTCTGTGAACGAGTGAGTCCATGTAAGGAGTTTTGTTTATTCTTGTATTATCCGCAAAATACTCACATTCAAGATGTCTGCGCCCTTAACACGAAAAGGTGAAAACCTATTTTTCTCACTTTATGTAAATTTTGTAAATGTTGAAATGCTTTATCGATCGCCCTAATTCCAAAGATAACTTCTAAAACTGCTTTTAATAGTGTATCATACATTTGGCTTAACTACGATGGAACCATTCTCTGAAATTTAGAAAACAACAAAAATTTGAGTCAAGTGAAGAAGTTTTTTCTGAATCTTTCGCTGCTGATGAAGGTCAGGGTGCATGTTCGGAATTTTGCTGCAACTCTCAATAGGGTCACATGTTATTTTTCAAATTTGAATCACTCCTTCCCCACGGTTTACTTATATTTACACAACTTATTTTTTTGAAGTCAAATGTGTGCCCATTCGGTATCACATACCTATGCCAGTTTACCTCTTCTTGGTAGTTTCTAGGCTCAATAAATATGCTCAAGGAAAAGACACAAAGTCTTCGGAAAATTTATATTTCCTTGATTTTGGAGTAAGTTTATCAATAAATATCACATGTCATTCCTCAAACGATGCGTTCTGTTGTTAGCTTCATCTCCAATCACTAAAACAACATGTTCAAGAAAGCGTCTGTTGATAAAAGCATAAAATAAGCGATCGTATATTTAATGGAGTGCTTCGGCTATTCACGTTGTTCAAATGTTTATTCCCGAAGTCAAATGCCTTTTCTGAGAATGTGATGCCACTCCGGATGACGTCACATCAGAGATAATTGAGAAATCCCATGAAGTTTCTTTAAACGCCTGTAGAAACAATAACAATGGTTTGTTAGGCTACGCGATCCTTTACTTTCATTGGCTGTTTGTTGTGATGTGACGTTATTCAAGAGACGAACAACATCGGACACTGCCGGAAATTACCGAAGCACTCCATTATTTTTACGCTCTGAAAATTTGAAATAAATGTCCTGGGAAAATTTACAGCGTCAATAATTGATATCATGCAACCATTCAAACTAATACATAAAGAAGAGATTACAGGGTAAATATTGATCACTCAATGTTTGAGAAATATGGAAAAGATAAAGGTCAGTATGAGCGTCATATTTTTGGATGGTCATTTTTTGGATGTGCCATTTTGTTTGGTGTCTTATCTTCTCATTTATTCTTTGAGCCAATACCAAAGGGGGCTGGATCTGGCTCCGGATCTATGTGTCTATTTTCGACCGTTGGACAGCAACTGAAAAATATTTTAGAAAAGATGAATTCAGAATTTTTTCAATTTTCTCTTTTCTTATACATTTTACAGAAACAATCTTCTCACCAGTTTTTTCCAGGCACATAAGTGCACTCTTTGTGCAAAACTGGAAGATGTAGACAATGTGTGGAAGGAGTGATTCCTGTTTGAAAATTAACATGTGACTTAACTGAGGAATGCAGAAAAATTCCGAACATGCACCCTGGTCTGAAGTCCTTGAAACATTTGAATTTAATATAGAAGTGTATAAACTATTCTTATATACTGGAAAATGGCTTGGTGGAACGTTTAAAAAAATCCAGAAAAGTTTTGGGCTTGTAATTTTTCATTTTCTTTGTATTGTAACGACCTGTGTGCATGCCCATCCAGGGAGCTGTCCTGTAAGGGAATCAAACCCATGACTGGCTCTCTACTCACGAGTCAGATGCTCTACCCCTGAGCCAATGGGTCTAGCCACTACAGCTGAGACCATAGTAGCAACTTTCTATTGAGGGTCAAAATAGTCTAAAGCTTTTAGTCTAAACTTACTATAGTCTTAACTCGTCACTGAAAAATTCTTTTTATTTTTTCAATTTGCCGTTTTCTACATTTTTTCTTTATTTGAGGTAAGTTCGTTTGTAACAAAATTTCCACAATCTCTGATCTGCATAACTCTATGTCAAAACGTCAACTCTCTTGTGCGAGTATGTTAGATTGTGTATAGCTAGCATAACATTCTTACTGCATGTGCTTGTTCATTTTGTCTGCGATATAGCAGCTTTTGAGTTAAATAATAATGTGAAAACCTGGAAATATTTTGTAAAATTGACTAAATTAGGTGATGGCATTCTTTGTCTATGAGGACTCTAACGGGCCCTGAAATCACATTTTCTAAAAAATTAAAGTTTTTGAGTCAATTAATGATCTTATTAGAGAGATTTCGCACCTAGTGAAAGTACAACTTATAACGTATACTTATACTTATAGGTAAACGTACAAGGTGTTTCTCGGACTGTAATAAATACAGGTCAAAGGGATGCCATTTGTACTTTCTTGAATTGTAGCATGTTTAGTTGATCCAAATGTCTTTGTCTAGAATAAAATAGGCTCATATAGTACATATGTTATAGACCCATCTCTTCTCAAATTGACTTTTTGGAGATGCTCGTTATGAAACACCCTGTATGTCATATGTTGAGCTACTGAATTTACTGTTTCCAGGAATTGCTAGAACCTACTGGTTTGATTGGTGTTTCAAATTGATGGTTAAAGTATTTGATTGGATACTGTTCCCACTCAGCCAATTAATTTCAAAAAATGCTTGCGGTCAATTGTTCCACACACATGTAGGCAAATCTTTATATGGAGATCCAACTGTATACGTTATCATCTACGTAAATATACCGTTTTGTAAGTTCATTGAACTTATACTGATCATGAAAACATTGAAATAATCAACTCGTTTATGTAATGACTCACTTGAAAGAATCATGACTCACTTTAAAGGATTGTGTTCATAATACACGACAACTACGAGGACACGGAAGCAAGCATCTAATTATAATGTGCATAATCTACACGTGCAGATGACAGTGCATTCACAGTCTCTAGTTGATGAAGCTTTTCTATAACGGGAATAGTTATGTTCAATTAAGTACAATTTAAAATTGATTTTAGTAAATATAATAGTTCGACATGACCCTTTAAACTATACGTAAAAGTATAAGTTGTACTTTCACTTATGTGCGAAATCTCTCTAATTCCACATAAATTCTAGATGTACTTTTATATGTATATTTCAAATATGCTATTTGAATGTTTAATGACGAAAATGGACATCATTTCCTCTTACCATCTGGCCTGTCGATGATTTTTTTTTTTTGATTGATTCATTCTAAATTTTATTTATTTAGTATTATTATTAGCTGGTACGATTTCCGTCAAGTTAGTAGTACAATGAAACTAATATATCTGAACACCTCTCTAATCTGAACATTTTTTATACCATTTTTTAATCTGTGACACATTTCCATTTAAAAAATTGAAATGCCAACATGAATACTTTTGGCTGGCTCTAGTTGCATTGCAGCAGGTGTTACTGTATTATCTTCTAAGCAATGGCTTATGTGATGCAGAGTAAATGTATATTCATGGACAAAGATGAAGTTCCTCTATTCTAATCATTCCTGTTATATTGTATTTTACTTCATTTTCTCTGACTCATTCTAATTGTTTTTTTCTAGTTCTACATAGATTGATATCACCGCATTATCATTATGGCTGTCTTGGATGCAATAGAGCACAACCAAATGTGGTGGCACAACCAAATGTGGCACAACCAAATGTGAGACAGCCCATACTACAGCTAGTCCGACATAAAGGTGGTAAACGATTCAAAGCTCCAACAGAGGCAAAGGATAAAAGATGGATTGCACAAAAGAAAAAGTATGTCCAAAATATTTATGTAATATTATGCTCCATTTTACACGTTTTATGTTTATTAAATGGAGTAGAAACTTGAAAGGATCAAAGCAAATTGAAAGTAAGTTTAAAGATCTTTGATATCAGAAGACTAATAGTGAAAATGAGAGATTTGAAAGCAAATAAGGTAGCCCTTGATCAATAAAAATGATAGCTCCAATCATTCAATATTTAAGGTAGCCCTTGATCAATAAAAATGATAGCTCCAATCATTCAATATTTAAGGTAGCCCTTGATCAATAAAAATGATAGCTCCAATCATTCAATATTTAAGGTAGCCCTTGATCAATAAAAATGATAGCTCCAATCTTTCAATATTTAAGGTAGCCCTTGATCAATAAAAATGATAGCTCCAATCTTTTAATATTTAAGGTAGCCCTTGATCAATAAAAATAAAAATGATGGCTCCAATTATTCAATATTTTAGATAGTGCTTGATCAATAAAAATGATAACCCCAATCATTCAATATTTAAGATAGTGCTTGATCAATGGAAATGATAACTCCAATCATTCAATATTTATAGAAACACTTTGAGTTTAAGTTAATGAAACAAGTAAGGTTTTTGATGCATTTCACTAATCGATTAAACTCAACCCTTTATGTTTTTATTTTTTGATTTTCATGTCACCACAAAAAGTGCTGACATATTGTTATAGTCTCCCAACTTTTTTGGGGATAGTGTTCAGCAGTTGTTGTTTGGTGTCTGTAACAAATTCTTGTGTAACAAGTTCGTAAAACTTCCAATAACTCAACAAGTACTGTTTTGACTGACTACAAATTTTTACTGTGAACATATATGAACATTTTCTGTCAATATCTGTTATCGACATGACGAGACCCTTATACTGATGTTTCTGATGCATTCAATGCTACACGCAGTTAACATTTCTTTTTCCAGATATGTATTGCCAAATTTAGCGAGGAAAATTCAACTACTAGATGAAAAATTAAGACGTGCCAATGACAAAGTCCCAGTAGATGATGTTTGGTTCAAATTATTCTATAGCCCTACAATACATGATTTTAATGAAGCCATTGAAATGCATCGAGAGTTTGCTGATCCCTCTATGCTAGATAACATGGAAGGTCTCGTTCAAGTTACCTTTCGACTTGACTTTACTACATCTAAAAAGGTTAGTATTCTGTAAAGGATGATACTTGAGTCAAATACAATATCTAGTGAAATTCTTTTTGGAAATGCAGCTCCATGTATCGACCTCGAGGTTCATTCAACAATAAAATTAATTCAAAATGCGACTTAGAAAAATGTTTCACAGATGATTCATGAAGGGCGTTCTACTTATAGAGGCATCCACTTTACAAGTTTTGATTTAGTTGGCTTTGTTGGTGTTCTGTATTAAACATAAACTGATGTTTTAATCAAAGCACTAAACATTTTATTTCATTTTACTTTGGGTGAAAGTACAAACTGTTGCATGCTGGGAAGCGTGCAAGCAATAATTACACTGAATGAACTTATATATAAATTGTTAAATTACCGGGAAACAATTCAAACACATTACAGTTGGTTTACTTCATAACAGCAGAATATCCTGATTAGGTAACGTCAGAGACCGTTGTCACAAATGGCTGACATAACCGTCGCTTCAACTGTTTAATCACTTGGTCCTCATTTCATGCTTATTCTTTGCATGTATTAAGCTCATGTGATAATGTATCATATGATATCCCATTTGCTTTGATCAGTTAAATTAAAGATTTTATTTCGATGGTAAAGCATTATTAATTGTACAATGAGTATCAAGGCACTTTGATCAATTGTTATTCCAAATGAATTTAGTCTAGGTGCTCTGTTAAACATACAGTTCATGAAAATCTAATTGGAGCGATTGTTATGTACGCCATTTGTGACAACGGTATCTGACTTTACTGTTGTCAGGCTATTCCTGGGTGTTCATGCCGTATTTGCTATAATTCCAGACAAAGTTTATCAAACGTATTAACAACATTGTTGCCATGCCGCACTGGTTTGATGATGGTAACCCTGACAACAGAGTAATTGCATTCAGCAAGGTAAGCACTAATGAAAATATTTAAGAGAAATGATGGAGTTTGAATTTTAGTCATTGCCATATGGCATGGAATATGTATAGGATATCCTATGATTTTGAGGGATATCATTTTTATCCACAAGTTGAATCTGAAGTTTTAATATACCGGGAAAGTCCTCCTGTTATCTGATTGGTCGTTGAATTTGTTTATCATAAACCTGATTGGCTGCCTGGTTCAAGGCGCTTGTGGGCACCTGTGTGACTCAATTGGGATTCCCCTCGCTAGCCGAGGAATCGTTTGTGTTTAATTCTGGAGTTTGGTTGTTCTGTTGATTATTTCCTATATTTCGGCAATAATATACCCAAAAGTTATTCTCAAGATAGATCGATGGTATGTGAGATATTGTATGAGCAATAACAATAGGACATCATTGATTGTCTGGGGGAGAAGCCTATGGCATAATGCATCTTTAAAGATTACAAATATAAATAAGTGCTCTAAAAATACATTCAAAAATTGCAGTTTACATGGCACAGTTAAATTGTTTCAACTTTGTTCTTAAGAAGATTGCAGTTTACTTTGCTTATTCAGTTCATTAGCTTCTCAAAGACTGTTGGCATGGTTATAAAATAAGCCCTAGTAAGCTAAAATAGGTTTCAATTACAATATTAAAGATCACAAATATACATAAGTGCTCTAAAAATACATTCAAAATTGCAGTTTACATTGCACAGTTGAATGAGTTCAATTTTGTTCTAAAGAAGATTGCAGTTTACTTTGCTTATTCACTTCATCAGCTTCTAAAAGACACTTGGCATGGTTATAAAATAAGCTATAAGCTAAATACATCAATAAGTTTCAATTACAATCTTAATGATTATCAATATATATGAAGTGTTCTTCTAAAATAGCAGTTCACATTGCATAGTTGAATGGGTTCAACTTTGTTTTTGAAAAGATTGCAGTTTATTTTGCTATTTCAGTTTATTATCTTCTAAAAGACTGTTGGCATGGTTATAAAATAAGCTATAAGCTAAATACAAAAATTACAGTTTACATCGCACAGTTAAATGGGTTTAACTTTGTTCTAAAGAAGATTGCAGTTGCTTTGTTCATATTCAGTTCGTTAGCTTCTAAAAGGCTGTTGGCATGGTTATAAAATAAGCCCTAAGCTAAAATAAGTTTCATTTACAATCTTAAAGATCACTAATATATATGAAGTGCTCTAAAAATACATTCTAAAATTGCAGTTTACTTTGCTTATTCAGTTCATTAGCTTCTAAAAGACTCTTGGCATGGTTAAAAATAAGCTATAAGCTAATATATATAGTAAGTTTCAATAACTATATCTTAAAGATCATCAATTTACATAAGTGCTCTTAAAATACATTCCAAAATTTGCAGTTTACTTTGCTTATTCAGTCCATTAGCTTCTCAAAGACTCTTGGCATGGTTAAAAATAAGCTATAAGCTAAAATATATAGTAAGTTTCAATAACAATCTTAAAGATCATCAATTTACATAAGTGCTCTAAAAATACATTCAAAATTGCAGTTTAGATTGCACAGTTGAACGGGTTCAATTTTGTTCTAAAGAAGATTGCAATTTACTTTGCTTATTCAGTTCATTAGCTTCTCAAAGACTCTTGGCATGGTTATAAAAAAGCTATAAGCTAAAATATACATGTAGTAAGTGGATTTTACAATCTTAAAGATCACAAATATATATGAAGTGCTCTAAAAATACATTCTAAAATTGCAGTTTACATTGCACAGTTGAATTGTTTCAACTTTCATAGGAAGATTGCAGTTTACTTTGCTCAAATTCAGTTCATTGGCTTCTAAAAGACTGTTGGCATGGTTACAAAATAAGCTCTAAGCTAAATAAAAAAAATGAAGTTTACATTGCACAGTTAAATGGGTTCAACTTTGTTTATAAGAAGATTGCAGTTTACTTTGCTTATTCAGTTCATTAGCTTCTAAAAGACTGTTGGCATGGTTATAAAATAAGCTCTAAGCTAAATACAAAAATTGCAGTTTATATTGCACAGTTAAATGGGTTCAACTTTGTTCATAAGAAGATTGCAGTTTACTTTGCTTATTCAGTTCATTAGCTTCTAAAAACTGTTGGCATGGTTACAAAATAAGATGATATATTTATCTTAAGGTTATTATTAGGTCATTCGTTTTTTCGTATCTATGTTTTTTGTTGTTGTTATTTTTTAGGTTACTAGGTCATTTGTTACATAATTAAATTTTCCATTGTCTGTTTATGACGTCACATAAATGTATACATGCTGTTATATTTTGAAAAAGACTAAGGGATATTAGTCGAAAGTCTCAATAAATTAAAAATATTCTCTGAAGTAAAGAATTTGACTTGTTTCTGAAGATATAAGCTGAAATATATAATAAGTTTCAATAACAATCTTAAAGATTATCAATATATATGAAGTGCTCTTCTAAAATTACAGTTTACATTACACAGTTGAATGGGTTCATCTTTGTTCTTAAGAAGATTGCAATTTACTTTGCTCATATTCAGTTCATTAGCTTCTAAAAGACTGTTGGCATTGTTATAAAATAAGATATAAGCTAAAATATATAGCAAGTTTCAATAACAATCTTAAAGATCATCGATTTACATAAATGCTCTAAAAATACATTCAATAATTGCAATTTACATTGCACAGTAAGCGGGTTCAACTTTGTTCTTAAGAAGATTGTAGTTTACTTTGCTCATATTCAGTTGATCAGGTTATAAAAGATTTTTGTCATTGTTACATAAAATAAGCTTTTGGCTAAAAATATATAATAGTAATTTGTTTTAATTACAATTATAAAGATCACAAATATATAAATAAGCGCTTTAAAATACATTCAAAAAATGCTAAAATTTAATCAAATTCTACTAAAACCCCAACAATGAAGGGCTTAAAGCAAAATCTTCTTTGGTTAGTAATCATAATTTACACATTTGGGTCAGTCTATTTTTTGATTTAAACTGTATATTATTAAGCGAATAGAAATTAGAATAGAATAGAAATTAGTTGATGATGCTAAATAATATGAATTAAAGTTCAGGGATCGTAAAAACCTTTTTTACAATACAAATGTAACATACTTGATTCTGCTTGATATAATAACATACAATAAAGTTTACAGACAGAAAATGCCTTGGAAGATTAAATAATTTTTCATGTAGTGATATATATATTTATTCCATAAGAATAACAACATGTTTTCCCCGGAAAATAACAGGGAATAAAATTGATATTCAAAGAAATCCAGTATTGGATCCCCTATCAGCAAAAATCCTATATCAGATCCCGTATCAGAACTATTCTCAGTAATTTCTAATTTCTGAAAATGTTATATGATAAATTGTATCATTTTATGTCACAATCATTGGGTAAAATTAAAAATAAATAAGTTTAGGAAATTATTATAGAATAAATAGGTTATTGATGGCCCTGATGGAATATGAATTTTTTCCTTGAGAAAATATAATATTGGCCTCGAAAAATATCATACTGACTCTCAGGCTATCGCCCTCGGTCAGTATGATATTTTCCATGGCCAATATCATATTTTCCCTCGGAATAAAATTCATATTCCATCCCTCCCATTAAATAACCTCTATATATTTTATATGAAGTGCTAAATAGCCAAGGTCTAAACAACATTTCATTTGGGAAGTCCACTTTCACATTCATTCAATATAAAAAGTCTTCCCAGAAATGCTGAGTGAACTTTTAAACTCATTATCTGAAATGACTATTAGAAATTGTACAATTTAACATAATAGTTTTAGGAAATTGAGAATGCGCACATATCTACAAATAAAGAATGAATATATTGTTTGTTTTGATATATGGTTATTTAAAGAATTACATTAAATATTTACATACATAAAATCATTAAATTCAATTTAAAATTAATGTTTGTTTAAGTTTTCATCTAATAGCAATCTATTGTTTGTGTCAAGATTATTCAACTTCATGGCAGTATGAGACTAGATGTTTCCTTAGTTGATTTATTTGCAACTGGTAGCTGGGTGTTTTATAGTGTCTATATAGTAATGTCATAATAAAAAATCCACATAATTGTTTTTAACAAAAAGAACCTACATTCTATGGAAAGGAAAAGTCTGAGCATTCTTCCTTTAATTGCTCTGGTTATTTTTCTATTTCCTCAAATACTTTCTTACATTAAGACAACTTGAATTCCATGATTCCTCATTATTCCGAGGGACTTGTTCAGCTAGCCACATCCATGTATAGTGATTTAGCATAAAAAGTCTGAGCATTCTTCCATTCATTGCTCTGCTTCTTCAAATACTTTCTTGCAGCAAGATAACTTAAATTTTTTCTTGTATTTCTTCAATTTCCCATTTTTTCCAGGGACTTGTTCAGCAAGCTTCTCCAGGGCTTCAGGCAGTGAGAATGCTAGAGACACTGGTTTCTTCCATGCATTGTATATATTTGCTTTGTCCCATCCCGCAAATATCATCAAACAGGTTGGATAGTGATCTTCATCTTCTTCTCTTCCACATACTATTGTTCCACTGTCTCCTGCCTGTGTGTATGCAGTGTCAGAATCTGAAGTATCTGCACCAATAGCTACCATATTGTCTACCCATGCAGTCTTTTTCCCAACTTTGATTTCACCTGCTGCATCTACCTTCAGAATGTTCCCTTTCATTTGTTTGAGAGAGGATCCTAGCTTCACCACCTTTGAGCCAACTAAATCTTCAAGATCATCTCTATGTATATCATTAGTACAACACTCAGAACAAGGGTTATATTGATGTTTTATGTTTTCACATTGATTATCCACCTTGATGGTGCCATCTTCATGCTGATCATCCACTTTGATACAGGCGATATCATATTGCTGTTCTTCCTCATCACTATCTTCATCATTTATTATAATATCACGTTTACAATTCACAAGCATTTTCTCGTCAAATACCTCTGTATCTATGTTCTCATCATCATTCCAGTCACTAAACTCACTGTC